GTAAGGTCAGCCTTTGCTTGGGGGGACAGTTGGCTGCTGACTTTGGCAGTTTTCACCGGGTTGGTAGGGTCGATGGGAACCTCAACGAGTTCCTCCACGGGCTCCCCTCTGACCAGCTCGTCTTCATCCCGCACGTCAAGTCCTTCAATGATCATGGCTTCTTTCAGCTTGACTTCTTTTAGTGAGGCAACATAGCATTCCCTGGCCACGGTTTGTTCTCCCCTTACAGTCCTGACTCCCAGATAGGTGGAAAACTTAACGGCAAGGTGATAAGTTGATGTGATAGCTTGGAAGGCATTTAGGGTAGTGCGGCCAAGGATGATGTTGTAGGCGGATGGGTAGTTGACAATAAGGAAGGTGAACAGCTTTGTAGTCTGTCGTGGGTACTCGCCGATTGTGATGAGAAGATCGATGGAGCCAATGGAGGTGACCCGGTCGCCAGTGAAACCGACCAAAGGGGTTTAGAGAGGAGATAGATTTTCCTCTCAAATTTTGAGCTGGCGAAAGCAATTGAGAAAAATGATGTCTAAAGAACTGCCGTTGTCGATGAGAACTCGCCTGACCTTGTAGTTGGAGAGGAGGGCAGAAATGACTAGGGGGTTATCATGAGGGTAGCGGATTCCTGTACAGTTGGCGTCCGTGAAGGTAATAGGCTCGGTCCACTGCTTAGGCTGTTTGGAGGGTCGATCGACCGTGACAACTGCTTTGTCTGAGCCCTACCTTATCTTCCTGAGTTCTGCCCTCTGAGCGGAGCGGGATGGTCCCCCGCAAGTAAGGCCGCCTGAAATGACTCTGATTTCACCAACAGGTGGGGGGGTTGCCTAGCGGCCGAGGTTGCTGTGGAGGGCGATCATGGCCTTGGTTAAGTTGGGCTGGCTGTCGGGGGGGTGCGCCGGCGGTTGTTTCTGAGGGGTTCAGTTCTTTGCCTCTGCTGAGGGCGGGTGTCCGTGAACCGGCTAAGACGTCCCTAGCGTATGAGGGTCTCGACCTGATCTTTGAGATTAACATACTCATTGGTGTTATGGCCATGGTCCTGGTGAAAGCGGCAATATTTGGATTGGTCTTTTCGATTGGAAGGGGTTCGTGAAGGTTGGGGCCATTTAAGGGGGTAGTCCCACTGGATCTGATTGAGGACTTGTTCCATGGGAGAATTAAGAGGTGTGTACCGCTCGAACCGTCCGGGCGGTAGGGTTGGTGCCGACCGGTCAGCTCGGGGGGGGGTCGATCGGTATAGTGTGGTGTTTGGCTATTATACTAGGTATTTTTTGGTTCGGAGTTTTTTCTCTTTTCTCTGGGGGTCGGGTTTTTGGTTATCGGATCTTGCTAGGCGGCTAGGGAATCCTCAGCATTTATGTATTTTTGGGCTTTGGAGAGTAGGGCTGCCATGGAGGTCAGAGGGTTTTTAGAGAGGGAGAACAGGAAGTCGAACGACCGCAGACCGGCCATTAAAGTAGTGAGGATGACCTTGTCATCATTTTCTGCTACTTGCAGGGCCTCGGTGTTGAAGCGGGTAACAAAACTGCATAGCGACTCCTCCTCGGTCTGTCGAATGTTGAGGAGTTAGGTTGCCGGGCGTCGTTGGCGCTGGGCTCCAATAAAATGGCTGAGGAAGGAGTCACTGAGATGCTGAAAAGTGGAGACGGAGTCTGCTGGTAACTGGTTAAACCACAGCTGAGCTGACCCCTTTAGTGTCACGGGGAAAGCTTGACACATGATCTCGTCAGGGAATGCATGGAGGATCATGAGGGTTCTGTAGGTCTCCAGATGGTCGACCGGGTCCATCGTACCGTCAAAATAGTCGATGGTGGGCATCTTGAACTTGGGGGGTAGAGGCTTGCAACGAGGACTGGACGCTGCTGGCCTCTTCTTCAAGGATTGGTGCCGGGATTGATGGTTGTGGGCCCTGGGTTGGCAGGTTTATACCTGGGGGAGGGGGTTGCAAGCCTTCTCTGTTGGGCGGATTAGGCTGCGGGATAGTATGGCTCGGAGCTTGTTCGTAGTTGGGAGGAATATCGGGAGGTGGTGGAGGGGGCATAGGAAGGTTTCTTTGGAGTAAGGCATTGATCAGGGCTTGGTTTTGCTCGGCCATGCGGTTAATGCTGTTGGTAAGCTCGATGAAATATTGTGGTGGGTTGTTTGGATTGGGGGGGTCGGCTTAGTGGTCGGCAGCATTTTGGTGAGAAACCATGGATCTAGTCGTGACCATACACTTTGATGGGTCGAGAAAGGGGTATTGGAACAGGGTCTCCGGCGACAATGAACACAATTGGCACGAGAAGCAAAGTCTTCCCACAAACGGCGTCAACTGATAATACAGTTACGATACAACGGGTTCCAGAGGGAATGGGTCGGACTGGTCCACGCTTCTCCAACCGTTATCTGAATGGCCAAGCCCACCTGAGAACCTGCACAGGAGTTCAATGGGGAACGGGGAGTCCCCCAGCGAACCCTCTGACGAGCAAGTTAGAGTGAGAGAGAAGTGAAATGTAGAGATATGAATTGGAGATAGAAAACTTAACATTTTTCTTGTCTTCAACGTTTGCTTATATCCTTTGGTCATCATTTCACTGTCCATTCCGACCTGCCATCTTGGCCGAAAGTCTATGCTATAGCTTACCTTGTTCAGGGTAAGGGGGTACTGTTCCGACGGAGAGGTGTTGTCGTAATAAATGCTGTGATGAGCTGCATTAATGGTGATATGCAGTGGCAATAACTTTGAAGATCTTTGTCTGCTGATGTGGCTTGTCCTTACCTGCCGTATGTCTGAATGTCATTGGCTCTTTATGCCACGTTAGATTCCAGCTATTCTGGACTTCATCAGCTGGGTTATGTATTGGGCTCCAAGTGATGGGCTTGGGTTGTTCATAGTGGGTTATGGCTTTTATGGGCTTACCCACGTCATTATTATAATAAAATTATTTTCATTTAATTTCAGTTAATGTATTTTATTTTTTTGTTGCCTTCATTTCAAAAAATATATTTATTTTTTCATTATACTTTATTGAAAAATTTATACAAATATAGACTAAATTTTCATTATACAAAATTTTCAGTATACAAATGTAAACTAATTTTATTTTATTTTTTTAAAGCCAAACAAAGCACAATGGCTCTATTAATTGTCATCACCACCATCCACGTATTGGTCTTGAATGGTTGAGATGATTTGTGTAGAATCATCCAACATTTTCTTCCCCTCCTTCTCACTGTCTCTCTCATTCCTCTCACTCTCAGACTCATCCAACATTTTCTCAATCTCCGTCTCACTCTCAGATTTATCTCTCTTCTCTCTCTCTTTGATCGGCGATGAAAAAAATTGAATCTTCCTACTCTTTTCTCTCTCTCTCTCACCATTTCCTCCTCCCTGTCCCTCTCGGTCTCTGTGTTTCTCTCACACTCTCAGATTCATCTCTCTTCTCTTTCTGTTTGAGCCGCGATAGTGTCGATCCCTCTCACTCTCAGTCTCACTCTCATTGTCACTCTCACTCTCTTCTCTCTCTCTTCGATCGGCGATAAAGAAGATTGAAACCCTTTGTTTCTCTCACTCCTCTTTGTCACTCTCTGTCTAACTCCAACAATGGATCGGTGATGAAGAAGATTGAAACCCTAATGATGAACACAAAGAAGATCATCCAAAGAACAAAGAAGATCAACCTATTTCTGTTAGGTATTTTTTTTCCTCACTGTGTTGATTTTCTAATTTTTTTTAAAAATTTTCTGTGAAATTGGTGAAATTGATATTCTAATTTTCTGTGTTTGGAAATTGTTAGGTGAATTTTGGAAATTTCGAAATTTGAAAATTTTGAAAATTGTTGAATTTTGGAAATTGCTTCAAATTGGTGAAAATTATTATTTTTTGAATTTTTGAAAATTGGAAATTGTTGGGTGAATATTGTTTGGAAATTTGGAATAGATGATGAAACTGTGGAGTATGAATATTGAAACTGTGTTTGGAAATGATGATGAAAAAGGGAGGGAGGGAAGGAGGAAACAGTTGGTTGAAGATGACTTGGCAGCTGCCAAAACTTGTGCCATATTTGACACAAGTTTTGGCATTTGCCAAAGATAGCAGCTGCTAAAAGTTACCATTGGAGCTACCTTTCTATCTACTGCTGCCATAATTTGGCAATAGCAGCTCCAATGGCACACCATTGGAGATGCTCTTATTGAGAAAAAAATATGAGAAAGTATTTATGTTTTTACCTTGTTATAATTTGAAAAATATATTATTAATACGTCATATTTTACAGTTACATTTCAAAATTTAGGAGTAGTTTAAAATGTTCCAAATAAGTGTATTTTTTGACTTTTTATAAAAAGATGTGTAGAAAAATAGAGAGGAGATGTTATTTGATGTGACCCAAAAAAGATAAAAAGATAAAAATATGAATTAAAATAGAGTACCCCAAATTGTTTAGTAGAATCATATCATATATAATTTTAGACATTAAAAACAAATTTTAAAAAGAAGGGGAAACAAAAAAAAAAAAAAGAAAAGAAAGAAAAGTTTGTGTTATTACTTTTTCTTGCTTGTCAAGAGAAAATTTTACATTCAAAATGCTTACCACATGATTCTTAGAAAAATGATCCACACAATGTTTGCAAAAGTTATCTAAAATCATGTAACAGTAACATTTACAAAATTTCAGATTTTTATATTATAAAAAAAACTAAAGCTTTAGGTTTCAAAATCGTCACCAAGAATCTCAGTGACTGCTAGCAGATAAAGAGTTGAAAAGGAGAGAAACGGCTGCTCTTGATGTGAGAAGGGAATAAATTTTGAAGTGCAGTTTGGTAATTCAGCCAATCAATTCAGGGCAAAAGCGGCAAAAAAAAAAAATTGGACCATTTCTCGATTTGTGCGTGTCATCCTTGCGCAGGGGCCATGCTAATCTTCTCTATATCTTTCCAATTTTATCGGATGTCCCCTAAGGGACACTCCCATGTAAACGTGGGACTATTGGTCATTCCACATAACAAATATACAGAAACAACACAGCTTACCAAAAAAGTAAAAGATACTTTCAACATAAGTTCCAAAGCCTCTTGTATATAAGAATCGAGGTTTGTACCAACATTAGAACAAAAGTAAAGCTTCCTAAATGGTTCAACTATTGATCCATTGCAACATAAAAAACTCAATACTACCATCTAATTTTCTCTTTTCTTTTAAAGGAAAGTAGGAAATATAAGCTTATATGTATATATATATACAAACATATCTTACGGCCATTCATTGACACTCTGGATCAGAGCAGGGTATTTCTTATCATCCCAGTCTTTGTTGATGCCTATTCGGCTGATCATATACGATATTGCGCTCATCCCAGAGAGGACACCTACATGTAGCTTTCTTGTTCTTCCACTCAGCCCCGCAAATGTAGCAAAACTCGTAACCACATCTGCAAAAATAACAAGTATAACTGGCAATCTAAGTATTGGCACAAAGGTGAAGTATGAGAAAGCAATCCAATTATCCAACATATTACAGTTTTCCTTTCCAGACAGTAAAATATTCAGAGGAGTAATAGGTGATATAAAGCTGAGGAAGTTAGAAGCAACGACAACAGTGTTTATTGAGTCTTGACAAGTGGTTTGTTACCAAGACACACATGGTAAAGACGGAGACTGATAAAAATTAACATAAATCTGTTTCCTTAATATGAATTTAGTGGGAATACCAAAGTAGCAAGAGTAAAGGGTTACAGATAAAACACTACTTAATTCAAGAGACAGATAATATCAATAAACAGGACAAAAGCATGCTAGAAATTGCACAAATCCTATACCACCAAGAAAAAGAGATTTGGAAGTATAATGCATCAAATACAATACGCAATTATTAGTTTCCACGTGTCACTTCCTCATATAAGGGTTGTGCCCTAAACAAAGAGCACTTCCAAAGATTTTAGAAGGCAATTCTGCTTCTTTAGCACGCCTAACCATGCCAATATTGTGTATTTGTCCGGAGGAATTAAACCACCTTTTTCTATCCTTTTTCCATCTTACACCATGTTCATCATCTACTTCCAATTCAAAATATGACTTCCGTAAGGGAAGTGTCCTAGCCATCCTAGCCAAGTGGTAACTTGGGTCCATTATGGAGAGAACAACACGATTTAAGCCCCACTACAAAAAATATTAAAACCATGAAGGCATTTAAAATGGAGTAATGCAGTACCTACAATAAATGTGGTTGCAACCTTCTGCAAGTTCAACCATATGGTTGCACTTCACACACTGGCGCCAGAGATTCCTCCTTGCAAGAGAATTCAGCTTTGCATCTTCTGCACATGGGTAAGGATTTAAAATTTTGTAATCATTGCAGCTGACGTTACTGTGCCAAGGGGCCTTGCAGCTCATACAGAACAGGCCACGACATCTCTCGCACATGCTGGCTCCTGCATTATTAGTATTTACTAAAGCCTCAGCTTTCGACATTAATGCCGAACACCTAGGATATGGGCAGTAAATTTTCTGTGTCGCGGGAATGGAATATTCCTTTATACGTTGGCTCATAAGATCATATAATTCTGATGTCAAGAAATTTTTGCAGCTCTCAATTTTCAGCTCAGTCTTGCATGCATCATGAGGGCATTTCGGCAGCATCCCTTGAAGTAACTTCACTTCTACATGTTTTTTCAAACAAGAAGAGCAGTAGCGGTGCAGGCAATCATTAACAGAAAACATCTGACAAACATCAGTATCTTCCAAACAAATTGAACAAGTTTCCTTCATATTTTTGACAGGGCTGCTTTCTGCCGAACAGGTGACCTGAGAAACTATTGCCTCACTTGCAAGTTTGAGTGCAAACTTAATATCTTTCTGCGCCACAAGAGAGGGACTGCAATATGAAAATTTTCTTTGGAGAAGTGTCACCTGACCAAGAAAGGCAGCTAAATTTCCCTGCATTGGCATGGCTCTGCCAGTAACCTGCATTAGTAAAAACAACATCAACCCACTCATCAATTAGGAATTTGATGACCTAGAAATATCATTATTTCACTAAGAGCAGCAATAATGATGGAGGGTGGCTAAGGGTTGAGAGAGGGAATCACATGAGGGCACGAGGGAATATGACAAATTTTCTTTAGTATGGAACAGTGTCAGTGATAGAATCATTTTAGTTTTTCTATTAATTCTGTTATTATACAAACTCTAACAAAAGAATCTATAATTTCTAATAAGCAAAGGAAAATGGCATTTTAGTTTTTTTTGGTTTATTTGTAGGCACAGAAAAGTAGCATACGAACAGGACAAGGCTAAACCAACCAAAATCTCGGGAACAAACTTATGACCACTTGGTGCCTAATCAATAAAATAAGCATTTGCATTGTTTTCAAAAGTCAACAATTGTTGGCTACATATTTTGAGCCAAAAAAGCCAACAACAATGTAACAAAAATATAAGTATTTTACAGAAGCTCAACAATGTCACAAGAACACCAACAGTCAACCTCAAGCGATCCTGATCCTGTTACAAGCCAAAGATTTTCCCAGAAAACTTTCAGGCACAATAAATTAGATGCATAAAATTCAAAACATGTAGTTATACACACACACACACACACACTACATTCAGGGATATTAGAGAGGGAGACTCACGAATTGGTAGACCGAATTGTCATCACATATTATGGTAATTCGCTTGATACCCAAACTGATAGCGACATTGAGGCCTTCAATCAGAGCTTTCACTTCCGCCACTTGGTGGCTCATTTCATCACAACCAAACAAAGGCTTTCGCAACTCAAAAATCGGATAGTCTCCCAAATCGCAAATGGCGATTCCAATACCCGCCGACATTTTCTTCACACCTCCCCCGACTCTCTCCTCTCTAACCAAACCCTTGAAGTAAAGCCTGAAAGCCTCCGCATTAGAAACCCCCACAGAAGACGAAGACGAAGAACCCTCGCCGTAGGGTCTGACGAAGTGATCGCCGGTGTTCACCCACTCTTCCTCGGAGATTAGACTCATGTCGCGAGCGAAGGCCTGATCATGAATCCGACGACTGAGATCGTCGCGTATTCGCCTCATTTCGGCCTCGGCATGATCGTGATCGCCGTGCTCTTGCTCGAACCTCGCGATTTCTTCGTCGAGGAAGCTAGCTAAGCACGAAGAAGAAGAAGAACAAGGTTGGGGAGCGAGAGAGGCATTCATGGCCTCCTGAATTTGGAGTTGGAAAGCCAGGTCGAGGTCGGACTCAACGGCCATGGCGGTGAGGAGTAGGCGGCTTTGTTCAGAGAAGATGGTGTGGAAATGGAGGAAATTACTACTCAAATGTTACGCAGTGTTTGGTTTCTGTGGAGGCGAGGGTTTTCACAAAAATGAAATGGGAATTATTTTCTCCTTTTATTTTTTGAAATACTGTGTGCGTTTAGGAAGTGGGTTTTTATGTATGTTTTTTTAATTGTAAGGTATTATTGGATAAAAAGATTTTAGTATTTAGAAAGATAGTTGGGTTTTTTTATAGTTAGATGTGATTTTTGTGAGAGAAAAAGTGAAATATTATGGGATTGGATGCGATATTTTGTTTAGATTTATTTTTTTTAATTTTACAAAACTTTTATCTTTTAATGAAAAAAATCAAAAAAAAATCTGGGAACCAAATTCCCAAACACCACCGAAAATTTGTTTTGCCAATTATTTCTTTAAAAAAAATTAATTAAAAAAAACAATCCACATTTTGGAAAATATCATAAATTTATTTTTAATTTTTTAATTTTTCTTTGCACAAAGATAAAAAATAATACGAATAAGATAGGTATTTGAACATTTTTAATTTTTATTTATAAAGACAAAAAATAAAAATGCAATTAAACATTTTTTTTTTTTTGGCACATGCTTCAACTATTATTATTTTATTTTTGCGCATGCTACAACTAGTGTCACAAACTCTCTGTTTGTTAGGTATTTCATATTCTTTTAGAGTTTTTAAAATGTTTGTTAGGTATTTTCATATTCTTTTAGAATTTTTTTTAAAAATATATAAATGTTTGTTAGGTATTTTCATATTCTTTTAGAATTTTTTTTAAAAATATATAAATTGGTGTGTCATGTTAGATATTGTGTTAGACACTTACGCAACATTACACTTATTAAACACTTTTTAGCCTCTGTTTGGAAAATGGATTGATTTTTTAATTTTTTGACTTTTTTTATTATTTTAGGCTGAGCTAAAAAATTTGGTTTGGGAAGGGCTTTTTAACTTTTTGACTTTTTTTGTGAGAGAAGAGTAGGGGTGGGCGCGGGTCGGTTGCGGCCACGGAACCTCCAATCCGCCATCCGTCCGCCAGATTGGCGGATTGAAGAAAATCAATCCGCATCCGTCCGCCAATCCGGCTTAGAGTTTTTAAAATGTTTGTTAGGTATTTTCATATTCTTTTAGAATTTTTTTTAAAAATATATAAACTGGTGTGTCATGTTAGATATTGTGTTAGACACTGACGCAACATTACACTTATTAAACACTTTTTAGCCTCTGTTTGAAAAGTGGATTGGTTTTTCAACTTTTTGATTTTTTTGGCTATTTTAGGCTGAGCTAAAAAGTTTGGTTTGGGAAGGGCTTTTTAGTTTTTTTTGACTTTTTTGAATTTTTTTGTGAGAGAAGAGTGTAATGATTATGGATTGGATGTGATGTTTTGTTTGTTGTGGCTAAAATAGTCTATTTTGTCTTTTGTGACTATTTTAACCCCAACCTTACTTGCCAAACGGACCCTAATAATTTATGAACATGTGTATTACACTTTTTAAACACTTTATAATAATTTATGAACATGTGCTTTAACATGTCATTCTATTTTTTAAAATAAAGAAAATTTCATTTTTTCTTTTATGATCTAATTCATGTGGATTAGGGATGTAATCGGTTCGGTACGGTCGGTATTTAATAAAAAATTACACCAAATTGATAATGTCGATTTTATTATTTTGAAAACTGATATAAACCACTTCTCCCATCAAACCGCACCGAACCGATTGAAACGGTTTGATTTGGTACTATTTAATCGATTTAGAATTTTTCAAACTTGAGTTATTTTTAAATATAATCATTAATGTATATAAAAATATTAAATTAGTTATTTATATATCATTTTAAACATATCAAATCCATCGATTTAATATATACTTTTCAATTCCTAAATTAACAAAAATTAAAAAATTAAAAATACGAAAGTCATATATAATAACAGTTTACAAATATAAGTTATAAAGATGATAAAATTAATTAATTAATGTTAATAATTTATTATACTTATTAATATCATTATATTATTAGATTATATATATATTATAAATACAATATATGTCAAAGCGGTCGGTTTCGGTTTAAATCGATGTACAAGGTGCTTAAACTGATACTGAACCGAAAAACAAAAAAATTAAATTTAAAAACCGCACAAACCAATTCTTATTAAAAAATAGACCAAATATAATCGGTTGATCCGGTTCAATCAGTTTGGTTGGTTATTTCAATTTTTCTTACATCGCTAATGTGAATATAGCCTGTCATATAAAAATAACAAAACCCCCCACATTATTTGTATACTAAAATACATCATCAGATCCTCATAAGCCATTTCACAACATTCATATGAGCTCCAAAGTAAGCAATGTATCAACACATGAATTAATTTGATGAGCAGAAATTTACAACCTTCTTTAATGATATGATTAAGCCATTTCTCAACATTCACTCTCTCATTACCTCTGTCGAGTCTGTTTCCACCTCTAGATTATATTCTGTATAAGTTCCTTTCTTTAATCATATGATTAAGCCATTTCTCAAGCTCCTTTACCTGAGCTTGACACAACCTAACCCACCTGTAATTCGCGCAAGTTATTGATTCCCTTTCCAAACCCTATCTTTACACTTCTCAATTGATCTGCCAAATCAAGTCAGCAAATCTATCCATACAGCTTAGCTTATGAGGACAAGCAATATAACCATATCATCAATTCAACACAAACAATAACATCTGTGAAGCAACAGTATGGAGACTAAAGAATAATACCTTAGAGGGAGAAAAGTTTGATGGATTTGATATTAGCTACAAAGATAAACTTCAGCATCACCAAACAAGCATAAACTTCAAGTACACCACCGCACCTAGTAGGTAGGGGGATTGAAAGCCTAATCTGCAAAAATTTACATGGATCTTGCCAAAAAGCCAGCGACTGGGAAAGGGGATGAGAAGAGGAGGTCGAGAGCAGGGTGGAGTAAAGAAAAAAATGGTCTGTACAAAAAAATGCTATATATAATTTACCACCTAATATCAACTCACCAAACAATCCAATAAAAAGTGAAGCCGAAATGGGGTAATTGGAAAACAAATGATTTATGTGTTCAATAGTAATCATCTGAATCACTTTCATTTTATTACCATCACCATCCCTATATCTCTCTCTCTCTCCCTCTCTCTCTCTCTGTGCAAGTACTTTATTACCAATAGACATCATCAGAATCGGTGTCAAAGAAATCATCATATTCATACTCTTCATCAGAGATTTCTTCATCTTCATTGTACAAAATATTATCCTCATCCCATAGTGGACAGGAGCACGTCCCTTTCTTGTTCTTCCACTCGGCTCCGCAGGTATAGCAAAACTCGTACCCACATCTGCAAAAACAAGAAGTATGAGGGACATAGCTATGGAAATAGGATAATGGAAACTGTTATCTAGCCTTTGTTTCTAGAAACATGGAGTAATCAAGTCAAAAATTGTTGAAAGCAGTATTCATCAAATAATAAAGCAAACAAATGGATCTCTCCCCATTTTCTCATCTAGTGAGTTGTGAGTCTTGTGGCCTGAAACTTGACAGAGTAGCCCGAATGCTACAAAGCACGGACACGGACACGGACACGTGACACGACACGAATACAACACGGACACGCTGACACGGCAATTTTCAAAAAATGCAAGACACGACACGTAGGGGACACGCACATAATATATATTTATTATACGTCATATATGAATATATCATTCTAAAACAATAAATAAATGTAATATAACACTAATTTCAATAAATTGATATTATTTTTCTTTATCATCATATTCTAAGTTACTTTGTTTAAACTTATAATTAGTTTCGTGTGTCTCTAATCAATGGACACGTGTGTCGTCCAAGTGTCCAAAGAGTGTCCGAAGAGTGTTCAAGCCTAAATTATTTTTAAAAAAACAGGAAAAGTTTAGATGAGTGTCGGACACGTGTTAGGAAAGTGTCCGACGAGTGTCGTTGTCCGACATGGACACGCCACCTTTTTAGAAGTGTCCGTGCTTCTTAGCCCGAGTGAGATCATCAGAATACCCTGGCCTAGTCAATAATGGATTAATTACGACATACAACCTTGGTAGTATGGTACCATGGTCAACATTTTAGTAACCTTACAGAGTTGGTTTGCTGTCACACAAAATAAAAGACACACAAGTAATCTCTGAAAGCGAGTCAAACAACAAACAAAAGCAGTAATCCATGCAGCTCCCCAACTCTCTGAACAGAGCAACTGAAAGAATGAAAATACGCTTGCCAAAACATGCCCTCGTGACAGAAACACATGATAATTTCCTTTTAGCAGGCAATTCAAAAAGTGAACAGGTCTATTTAAGGACACATCAATAGTAAGGTATTAAAGCCACCAACTCAAAAGGTAAACAATGAATGCATAAAACCAAAATAGTAATTAGACTTGGGTATATCTTGGTTTTCAGATAAAAGAATAAAAACCAATGTCTCCATATGGTCCAAAATATTTAATGCAGAAATACATCACAAGAAAACCTCAGTGCATTTATCTTGGTTCCCAGATCAAAGATTGTACGTATATGGTCCAAACCTTATACATGGCACCTCTTGACTGTGCCGCATCATCAATGGGAATGAGGCAAACTCAGAATAATTTTAGAGAAAGGGGATTTAACAAAGACCTGACACCTCAATGACTACATCATAACTATCTCTGAATTGTCCTAGCATGTCTAGAAATGGATGTATCATACGTACCTATCCTCTGTGCACATATGATACATCCCTCAAAGGCATTCCTCAACCAGTCCACCCTCCATCTTCCACAAAGATCAAAAAGCAATGGCACATGGTCTAAAATAGTAATAAAGTATTACAACAAAAGATAATCTCATCATGTTTCTAACTGAAACAGAAGATACAGCCAAATTCTCCCTATTAAAAAAGGAAGGAAGGATGCATGCAGTATGCACAGCATCCCTAGTATTTTAATATGTTAATGAAATTTTAAATCGATGAGGTTCAGATGCACAAATGATTAGCTGCATCCCAAGTCCCATCATAAATAACAGAAATTCCTTGATACCGAAACCAATATTCTGCAATAGTTGGGAAGATACTCAAATTTCCTTTCATGTTATTCTTTTCTTTTCTCTTTTGGTTTTTGGGAAGCTTTTATGATTCATCGTCATTACTGAGAATTACTTAACCAAAACAATAGCATAGCATGACTAGAAAGAGACTCAAGTACCTGCAAGTCATGTGGTAGCATCCTGCAACAAGTTCAATCATATGGTTGCACTTTACACATTGACGCCATAGATTCATATCTGCAAGACTCTTTAGCTTTGCATCTTCCGAAGGGAGACAAGGATTGTTCCTCTTGTATTCATCGCACCTCATGTTTTGGTGCCAAGGAACCTTACAATTGATACAGAAGACACCTTGACATTTTGTGCATTTCCTGATTCCAGATTGTTCAACTCCGACAAATGCTTTCTTAGAATATTTTAAAACCTCACTTTTCGCCATTAAGGCTGAGCACTTGGGATATGGGCAATAAACTTTCTCAGTGACGGGAATGGAAGCTTCCTTCAGGCGTTGGCTCATCATCTCAATTAGTTTAGGAGTCAAGAATTTTTGGCAGCTATCAATTTTCAGTTCAGAATTACAGCCTTCGTGAGGACATTTGGGAACCATGCCATGAAGCAACTTCACTTCCACATGTTGTTTCATACAAGCAACACAATAACGATGCAAGCAACCATCAACTGGAAAAATCTGACTAGCATCCATATCCTCTAAACAAATTACACACCCCTCATACATATTCTTGGCACAATTTGATTCTGGAGGCCCATTGACCTGAGAAACTATTGCCTCTCGTGCAAGCTTAAATGCAAATTTAACATCATTTCGGGCCACAAGAAATGGGGCCGAGTACAAAAATTTATTCCGAAGTAGGGTCACCTGATTAACTAATGTCGCTGTCTTCCGTTGCTTGGGTGGCCATCGACCAATAACCTGCATTGGCCAATACAATATTTATTTCTCCTATTTTCAAACAGGTTTCATTACAAAAGAAACTCAGGCAATCAGTGTAGGCCTCTGAAACATTGTAAAGAATCTGCAGATGACTAGGGAATCACTCAAAAGTTCAAAACACACTGGCAGATATCCTAGCTTTCCAATAAAAATGCTCTGAATCCTTATGTTCAGAAAGAAATGCAGATTAATTTATTATTAATATCGATTAAAAAAACTTTGAATGAAATAAATCCTAAAGGAAAAATAAATGATCATTATACCCACAGTTTAATAGTTGATACTGACTCGCGATATGCCTATAGTGGAATTCTAAACTCTTACAACCAATGCAGCTAACCCAGTTGGCTCCGTCAGTTTAAGGACAACTGATTGGTAACAAAGACCATAATTTGAAGTGGAAACTATTTCCTTCTAAGACAAGATAGCTATTTAAAGTAACTGATCCATGGTTCCATGACTGAGTCGCAAATTGCACATTTTCAAGACAACTCTTGTGCAAAGTGATGACAAAATCCAAGCCAACATGGAAAAAAAATGGCAAAATTACAACTGATATATACACAACATACCCAGAAGTCCTTGAATCCAAGGTCTTGAAAGTTCATTTTCCTAAAGCATTTGTAAACTCTAATATGCAACTTGAGTGTTAATACTAATACATGCTAAAACGGGGGAAGTATTACTTCAACAACACCCCAATTTACTGATAAAGGCCCTAAAGATGCAAAGCAAAGACGACACAAATTCCTAATACATCTTCCTGGCCTTTATAAGGAAGGAAAGGGCATTCAACTTCTGTTAATCAACCTCATGAAGGGGTTACACTGATACCCCTGAGGTTACATGTTAATACATTAATACCCTTGTGGTTCGGGAAATCGCATCCACCTCTTGAGGTTTATAGTTGCATTACAAAATCTCCCCTCTGTAACTAACAATTTTTGCTTATGTCAGCGTTTAATTTTTTTTTAAATAGCCATATTTAACCTTCACTTTCTCTGTTCTCATCTCTCTCACCCTCTCATCCCTCTCTTTATAACACACCCACATACTACCAACCATTTGAGACAAGGGGTAGCAATGGTGGGTTTTTTTTGTGCAGTTGGTCAAAGATTTGGTGGAAGCTCTGAGGGTGGAGCAGTGTGATGGATTTGTTGGTTTGTTGTGTGATTGGGTTGGTGGGTTTCCTAAGTATTTGGTTGAAGGTTGGTGGTTGACACCCACATCTTTAATCTCTAAAGACAAGAACAAACACAATTGCTCCCAGCACCCACCAGTGTAAATTTCGAAAGCCCCAAACTTGCCATCATCGTTGATTTGGGAAGATCCCTCTCCCTCCCTCCCTCCCTCCCTCCCTCTCTCTCTGTGTTATATATATATATGTGTGTGTGTGTGTGTGTTTGAGATATGTAGTGGTGCTGGCAAATTTAGAGCCATAACAACCATGGTAGAGGCCAGCCTAAACCATGATAGAGGCACAGAATCAAAGTTAAGTACATTTGGTAAATTTGCCTATTACACATTGCATATTGCAGCAAATGTTTGCCAATCACTACACTGACTGTTTTGTTTTCCACCATTTGAGATTCTCTCTTCGTAAACCATATTACCATGGATCCTTCTCTCATCTACCACCATCATCTAGAGAGAGGGAAAGAGAGGAGAAAGAGGGGAGGAAGAGGGTAGCTGTGTTGAGGAAAGAGAGTCTGGCGAAGATTTAGAGAAGTGAAAAAGTTAGGGAATGAGTTAGACTTCATTTCCTTTTATACTGATAATTGACCAATTACAGGCATAATTCTGAGGAACCAAAAAGGAATAAATCAGAATACAACCAATTATTTTCTATTCTCATATTTCATATATTCTAACAATTTCCTATTCTAACACTCCCCCTCAAACTGGTGCGAAGATATCTCTCATACCCAACTTGCTGAGAATGCCATGAAAGGATTTGCTCCCTAGTCCCTTGGTAAGAACATCAGCTAGTTGGTCCCCAGTCTGCACAAATGGAACACATATGGTGCCACTTGTGAGTTTTTCCTTTATAAAGTACCTATCAATCTCCACATACTTAATTCTATCATGCTGAACTAGATTATGAGCTATGTTGATTGTGGCCTTGTTGTCACAGTATAGTCGTGAAAAAAAAAATCAATGTATAAAGAGAAAAATACAGAGAGAATAAATGTATCTGATGATCTTATTATTGATTGATCTATGTTGATTACAAATGGTTCCTTATATAGATGTAGGTGTAGTGGATGGTGTGTAGTGGATGGTGATAGTGGTGTAGTGGGTTAGGTTTAGTGGAGTAGGTGAGGTGGTAGTGGTGTAGTGGGTTAGGTTTAGTGGAGTAGGTGAGGTGGTAGTGGTGGTAGGTGATGGTAAATTCTGACAAGTCGCATGGAGTCAGTCTGATGAATTCTCAAGTCTCCCAACAATAGTTTAATCCATAGTACCTCACATACCCCTTGAGCCATAGCCCTGAATTCTGCCTCAGCACTAGATCGAACAACTCCATTCTGTTTTTTACTTCGCCATGTGACTAGATTGCCACCAACAGATGTGCAGTATTCAGAAGTTGACCATTTGTGAGTGACTGATCCTGCCCAATCTGCATCAATAAATGCTTCCACGCTGAGATGGTCATGTTTTGAGAAGTAGAGACTTTTTCCAGGAGAAGACTTCAGGTATCTCAAGATTCTCATAATTTCATCTAAGTGGGAAGTTTTAGAAGCATGCATAAACTGGCTTACCATACTCACGGCAATGGCAATGTCTGGACATGAGTGGGATAAGTGTATAAACTTGCCCACTAGTCTCTGGTATCTCCCCTTGTCCACTGGCTCTCCCTTTTGATCCTCACTGAGTTTCTGGCCTAGTTCTAGAAGTGTATCACATGGTCTACCTCCAAACAGTCCAATTTCCTTTAGCAAGTCAAACACATACTTTCTCTGACATATAAAGATGCCATCCTTGCTCCTAGCTACTTCAATACCCAAGAAATACTTCAAACGACCCAAGTTTTTGATTTCAAACTCCTTGGCTAAGTATTCCTTCAACCGAGGGATCTCCTCAACGTCATCTCTCGTTAGAACAATATCATCAACATAAATAATGAGAACTGTGGTCTTACCATGTGAGAAGTGTTTCACAAACAAAGTGTGATCAGCTTGACTTTGCTTGAACTCATATTTCAGCATAGCTTGAGCAAACCTTTCAAACCAAGCCCTAGGGGACTGCTTAAATCCGTAAAGCAACTTTCGGAGCCTACATACTTTACCTTTGGACTTAGCATCCGCAAAACCATGAGGAATATCCATATAGACTTCTTATGCTAGGTCTCCATGAAGGAAGACATTCTTTACATCAAACTGATGAAGTGGCTAATCCAAATTTGCAACAAGAGAGAGTAAGATTTTCACAGAGTTCATCTTAGCAACCGGTGCAAATGTCTCCTGGTAATCTACCCCATAAATCTGAGTGAAGCCCTTAGCAACCAATCTTGCTTTGTATTGTTCTATGGAACCATCTGCTTTGTGTTTTACCGTATACACCCACTTACATCCAACTAGATTTTTTCCTCTAGGTAACTCCACTAACTCCCAAGTGTCATTCTTGCTAAGAGCGCTCATCTCTTCCATCATGGCATGTTTCCATTCAGGAATAAAGAAAGCATCCTAAAAAGTGGTAGGTAGACTCACAAAAGACATTTTAGACAGAAAGGCTTTATATAAGGAAGACAGATTAGAATAAGAGACATGATTAATAATAGGATGCTGAGTACATGACCTAACTCCCTTCCTATTAACAATGGGAACATCAAGATCTGAAACATCAGGAATAAGAGTACTAGAATTAGAATTACCTGGACTCTTAGGAGATGAGGTTGACTCTAGACCAAGGTTTCAAAATGCGGTGTTACGTAACGGTTGCGGCCATTACGAAACGATTGTGGCCATAGGCAATACGTGTTACCTCCACTTTTGCGGTGTGATTGAGATTCACAGGTGTGTTGGTCGTAGCGGTTGTAACGGTGCTATAATGGCCGTAACAGCCCGTTGCGTAACAATTTGGAATTGTTTCTTTAGGAAAAAAGCAAAAAAAAAAATGTTGAAAATGGGGGAAATAGGCCTAGGTTAAACGCCTCAAGTGCGTATCTTGCGCACTGAACATTTTTTTCCAGGGAGACGACACCTAACTGGATTACCAAAAAAATAAAAAGAAAAATGGGAAACAAAAGAAATTTGGCTTAAATGCTTCGAATCAAAGATAAATACCGAGAAATACAATTCTTTCGCTCATACGATTAAAGTACAATTCGAAATTTGAAAAAATTTGGACTGTGATCTTCGATGTTTAGGGTTTTGCAAGTATCTTTCGTCCTCTCTCTCTTTCTCTACCGTGTTCTCCGTCTCTCTATTTTTTTTCTCTCTCATTGAGTTATGTCTCTCTCTCTCTCTATGTATCTTTGGGTATAGAGGAGTGAGGCTCTTTGACTTCTTGATAATGACTAGTCTTTGTTATAATATAAGAAAAATGCTTGGGAGCACTAGAAATGGAGCATTAGAAGGACCACTAATGATGTGGCAGTGGGCCCTGCCCACTTTCTATGCCTTGTTTCTTTTTTTTTTCTTTTTTTTTTTACCAATCCCAATGTATTAGTGCTATTAGTGATGTATTTTTTAGTGGTCTAAATCATTGTTGATAATATAATGGCATTTATGTATTTATTATTTAAAGCTCTCCCTGTTGCTCTTTCCAACTTTCACCAGAACCTTCATAATTTAATAAAAGAAAATGGCCTTTAATATTATCTTTATTTGAAATCAATAACTATCTTTATTATATTATGTATAGGTCTGTGTGTTTAAAATTTCAATCACTTTTTAAGATCATTTTTTTACAAGTTATTACTTTAAAAACTATTTATGTTATAATTAATTAATTTTATATTTTATAAAAGTAAAAAAAGATCAAAACTCAAAAAGCTTATTATTTTAAAAACTATTTGTGTCAATTTTTGTTGATTAGTCTATTTTATTTTTATTTACAGGTTATTTAAAAAGAGAATGAATATTGAAGTGATCCAAACTCAAAAAAAAAAAAAATCTTTATAATTTATTTTTTAATTTTTATATGATTACATTAGAATGTATAATTTATTTTTTAAAATTATTCAAGTTAAAATTTGCATATGCTTCCACAAGTATAATAATTTTATACATCTAAGTATAATAATTTTATACATCTAAGTCCAATAATATATATATTTTTTTTGCCACAAGCATAATATAGATTTATGACATATAAAGTCATTAATTATTAAAATAAAATGTAAAAAAATTCAGTTTATAGTGATTTAAAAATATGAAATATATTGAATCATACTTAAAAAATTCCAAAAATTGATCAATATTTATTTTAAAACCCAATAAATATGATTATGGAAAAAAAATATGCGTATCGGTAAGTTTTTCTCAAATTGTGCGAAAAAAAAAAAATCACGGTTCTAGTTACCGCAACTGTTACGCTACGGCCTTTACACCCCGCAACCGCAACCACAACCACGTCACTTCCACCGTTACGACGACCGCAACCGCTTTTCAAAGCCTTACTCTGGACACTCATCCGGAGAAGAAGTTGGCAGTAGTGAAGAGAGAGTAGGCTCTTGCATCTAGGTGACTTGTTGTCTGTCTATCCTTATCCTTGATACAAACTTTGTCTGCTTCCTTGTCCTCAACAACTGTTGGCTCATCATCCTCGATCTGTTCAACCACTAGCAGAAGAGAAATAGGTGTAACAAGGATCTCTTCACACCAAGGCTCCCCCCTAAAGAGATGACTGGGATACCAAAGAAGGCAGAAAGTAAAGCTGAGACTCAAAGAACGTGACATCCATGGAGACAAATCATTTGCGAGTGGGAGGGTGATAACACTTATAACCCTTTTGGGTGGCAGAATAACCCAGAAAAATACACTTAAAGGACCTAGGATCCAATTTACCACGAGTGAGAGAATGATTATAAACAAAGCAAACACAACCAAAGGTCTTAAGAGAAATGGAGAACCTGAAAGAGGTAGACCCGAACAAAACTCGAAGGAGGGTTTCTTTTTGAAGGACTTGGGTAGGAAGACGATTAATCAAATAAGCGGCAGTGAGAACCGCTTCCCTCCAATAAGATCGATGAACCCGCATCTCAAAGGATAAACAACGGGCGACATAAAAAAGGTGGCGATTTTTGTGTTCTGCAACACCATTTTGTTAAGAGGTATTAGTGCATGAAGTCTGGTGAATAATGCCATGTGTGGCGAAGTAAGTGGCAAGACCAGAGTCAATACATTCCCCCCATTATCAGAACGTAGAATTTTGACAACCGTCCCAAACTAAGTACAAACCATTTTATGAAAGTTTTGAAACACAGAAAAAAACCTCACTTTTATCTTTCAACAAATAGACCCAAGTGGCCTTGGAACAATCATTCATGAAGGTAACAAACCATTTATAGCCGGTTAAAGACAAAATGGGATGAACCCCATACATCAAAATGAATCAAAGAAAAAGAAACTAAACTTTTATTAATAGAAGGAGCAAAAGAGGCTCTGTGTTATTTTCCAAGTTGACAAAACTCACATTAAAAATCTGACACATTATTTTTCTCAAAAACAGAGAGAAATAAATGCTTAAGTAATAAAAATAAGGGATGTCCTAAGCGACGGTGCCACAACCAAATGTCTTCCTTGGTGGATGGTAATTGAATAGATGAATGAGCCAACTTGTCTATCTGATCCAGAATGTAGAGCCCATGTTCCTCTTACCACTGCCAATCCTCTTCCTCGTGATAAGGTCCTGAAAAAGACAATGATTAGAAAAAAAAAAAATGTCACGCTACAATTTAAATCACGGGTAATACGGCTCAAAGATAAAAGATTAACACTGAAATTGGGAACATGGAGGATAGAAGACGAAGGAAGGGAAGAGGTGGCATGAATTAAGCATTTCCCTGACACAAACGAAATGGCACTATCGGCAATACGCACTTTTTCCTGACCTGAGGAGGGTTTATACTCTGAAAATAAATTAGAGGAGCCAGACATATGGTCGGAAGTACCGGAATCAATAATCCATGGTACAGTCGGATAAGAGAGCAATGCATATGGGGAGGAAGCCTAGTTACTTGAATTGGCAAAGGAAGAAGAGGGTGCACCTGTAGCAGAAGTGGAGGCTCAACGGTCTAGCAAGTGGCGAAAAGCAATCTCAAAATCCGAGGCAGATAACCCCGAAACATCAACAGCGGAGGAGACAACTAGAGATGAAGATGGTGGCTCAGCAGTGTCTAAAAGATGGGCTCATGCATTGGCCCCTCGGCCTCTAGTACCAGACCGACCCCCTTGAGTACCAAAACGGTCTCCAAGTCTACCAGAAGGAGTCTCATACAGCTTCCAACAAGTCTCTCATGTGTGGTGAGGTCGGCGATAGTAGTCATAGTAAAGATTATCCTTCTCTGAGGAATGAAGAGAACCCCGAGTCACACGGTCGCCATTGTGAAAGAGTGCAGAAACTAAGGCCGAGCGATCAGTAGTAGCAAACGGAAACATCGCAGAATGATGACTCTCCTCATTCTGCATAAAAGCAAAGCTTCCTAAAGAGAAGGAAGCACATCCATGCCAAATACTCTGCTCCAAACCGGATCATACTTCACATCTAGGCCTTCCAATAACTTGAAGACCCGCTCTTGTGCCACAAACTTCCGGTAACCAATAGAATCAGTGGGACAGATAGGTTTGTAATCCTGAAGGTGATCAAGTCGCTTCCACCCATTGTTAAGGAAGGTAAAACACTGAAGGATAGTCATCTCACCTTGTACCGACTTTTCAATGGAGCGACGTAACTCAAAAGCCTAGGAGAAGTTCCCCTTCCGGGAGTAAGTGGTAGTCATTGCCTCCCAAATATCCTGTGCAGTGCCTATAGAGAGATAGCCTTCTCTAATCTCCGGGACTATAAAATGTATCAACCAACCTATAATGAGGGAGTTAGTGATCTCCCACTGTTCATAACTGTGGTCCGTGGTGGTGGGTGCCTGTATCCTGCCATCAACATATCCAATTTTCCCTCTACTCTTCAAAAAAATAGTCAAACTTTGCAACCACGCTAAATAGTTCTAACCATTGAATAAAGAGGTGGTGATCTTGAGGCCAGGGTTAAGGTTATCAGTTATAGTAGGAGGTATAATGAAACTCTCACTCTGAGGTGGCTGAGAAGTAATGGATTCACTAAGGGAATCAGCCATGGATACTCTACTATTGATCTCTCAAAAACAAGGCCAATCACAAATCCGAAAAATAAAAATGAAAGGAATGAAAGGAAGGAAAGAAAGACACAACTACCACTGTGAAAGTATAAAGAAATTAAGAACTCATCAATTTTCTTTTTTTTTTTAAGGTTAAAACATCAAACAAAGAGTTTAAAACATAAAAGCCAGAGACCTAGAGACTGCCAACAGAGATAGAGGGCCAGGGGACAGAGACAGAGTGTCGTGGAAGGTCTAGATAGCCAAAAGAACTACCGTTGAAGGGGGAAAGCCCTGGAGGGGTGCCGACAAGGACTCTGAAGCCAATAGGACCCTGCGACACAGCCTACAAAGCTAGGAAGGGCTCTCGACAGACCCCTAGAAGACGAGAGGGGGCCTGCAGAGGCCTGGGTTGAGGGTTTTGGGAGACCTAGGTGAGTAAGATAGGCTGGGTGAAGGGTTTTGGTGGCTGGGTGCTGGGTTTCTGTGGCTCAAAGGCTGCAGGAGAAGAGAGGCTAGAATAGGATGGCTAGGGCCTGTGTGGCTCTGATACCATGAAGATTTAGAGAAGAGAAAGAGTTAGGGAATGAATTATTCATTCCCTTTTATATTGATAATTGAGCAATTACAGACATAATTCTGAGAAACCAAAAAGGAATAAATAAGAATACAATCAATTATTTTCTATTCTAATATTTACTATTCTAACAATTTCCTATTCTAACATCTAGTATTATGAAGCATGAATACGGATACAAGTATTGGTACCGGTATGATACAGGTACGTTGATATGATAAAATTCAAAAAAAATAGAGTACGGGTACGACATGATACACTTGTAAAAAAATATTTATTTTTAATTTAGAGTAATGTAAAAATTAAATAAACGGTTTAATTTGTTAAAATTCAACCTATAATTAACATTTAATGTCAAAAGTAAAGATATAAATCCAAATTAAATATTAATTTATTAAAGAACTTACAAACCATTGTTTAATTTTAAAATCATGCAAGTATAAAATAAAAAATAAAAAAGAAGTCTAGTGAAAAGAGCTTTATCTCTGTAATAGAAAAAAATATTATTTCAATTTAGATACGGTACAGCGTGGATAAATATTAGGTACGTCTAGATACTCCAAAAATTAAGAAGAAAAAACTTGAATACGTATTTAGTGTACCTGATACGTTCACAGAAGTGTCATACGAGGTACTATACGCCGGTAAGTATCCGGTACGGATACGGCATGTTTTTCGAAGAACTCATCCTTCATAGGTCTGGTATCAGGGTTGGGTGGAAGGTAATTTGTCTTTAAGAGTGTGAGGGTAAGAAACTATTTTTTATACATTCACAGTTAAGAGACAAACACTGACAAGGGGGTTGTAGAGTAAATACAAATTGTCAGTATAATTTACCCTAAAAACTATTACTTTATATACAGAGGCAGTGATTTGTCACAGCAAACATACACATATTTCACTTGTGCTATACTATATTCATTCAATAATTGCCAGACTATATATCCAGACATACATGGATTCCCTAGAATGCTAACTCGTGCAGCAAAATTGAAAAAGAAAAACAGAGTAATGAAGAAGAAAGAAAGCTCACGAATTGGTAAAGCGGATAATAATCGCAATAAAACACAACCCTCTTCAAATCCAAAGCAATGGCGGCATTCAAACCCTCAATCAAAGCCTTCACCTCCGCGCCATGCCGGCTCCTCCCATTCCCCAAAAGCGGTTTCTTCATCTCGAAAATCAAACCGTCCCTCGAATCACAAATCGCGACCCCAATCCCAGCCAAAGCGACCTCCTCCTCCGAATCCCCAACCCTCTCTTTGCTAACCAAACCCTTGAAATAAACCCTAAAAACCTCGTCAGGTTTCGCTTTCACGCCGCCCTTGGACGACGAGCCCTCCCCGAACGAAATCTCCGGAGCGAGGCGATCGCTGTGCGTTTTCTCGAGCTCATCGGTTTGTGGTGGTGGTGGCGGCGGCGGCGGAGGCGGAGAAGAGGAGATGAGGGAGAGGGAGGCGGTGATGGCTTCCTGGATTTGGAGGTGGAAGGCGAGGTCGAGGTCGGAATCGAAAGCTTGCGCCGCCATGAGGTGGCGGAGCTGTGCGGCGGCGATGGTGGAAAAAAAGTCATCGTCTGAGTCTGATTCGATCGTTGACATTGTTGGTTTGGTAGTGAGTGTGAGTGATTATTAGGGTAGTGAAGTGAATAGTCACCTTGTTTTTGTGTTTTTGATGGGAATGGAATGTGAGAGCGACTTTCTTTGATTTTGCGGTGTTTGAAGAGACGGATGAGTCTGGATGGAGAGTTATCCGATTGAAAAATTAGGCTAGGCTTGGTTTGGCATAGCTTATATAATTTTTTTTTTATTTTTTTTTTTTTATTATATCATTTTTTTTATTTTTTTGTATATTTTTTTATAAAAATATAAAAAATACGACGTCGTTTTGGCCATTTTGATGTTGTTTTGTACTCAAAACGACGTCGTTTTGGCCATTTGAGTCACATTTGAGCCACAGAATTTGGGCCCTCTACCATTGCTCCTTTTTTTAATACATCCCAAATCAATCCTTATTGCATGTTGAGGGGACATTGCTCAAGCTATGCGACTTTTCTAGATAAAGTCAACTATCTCTCTTAAAGTCATCTAAATTTATTCATAAATTCCATATGATAAAAAGTCATATTTAAGTGATTTTGATAAAATTGGAGTTTACATAATTACCATTTTTTTAATCTCTTTTTCTGATGTATTTTTCATATTTTAGACGAATGATTTTGTAATGGGTATTAATTGTTTAGCATTGTTGAAGTTTCCTTTTCTGATTAACTACAATGTCTGCGTCATGTTACCCATTATCACAAACCCAAATTTTGCAATTAACACTACACATTTACACATTAACATTAATAACAACATGCACATAAAAACTAGCACTACTATCCAATGTTATGCCAAACAACCCCACCCACTATAGGAAAAAATGAGTTTTTGGTAAATTTAATGTGAAATTAAAGTAGTCTCAACCATTGGTTAAGATGGAATTAAATGAGTTTAAATTCTTTGTAATAAGGTCTTTACAATACAAAAAGAATAACCAAAAATCATTGAGAATTGAATGAGAAATTGTCTCATAAAGATGGCCTCATGAATGAGGTTTTGGGAATTATATATAACTACCAATCTCACATTGATTGTACACGAAAATTTTGATGGGTATTTACGCCTCAAGATTTTGATAAGGGTATGAGCCCTTTAGGGCATCCAAATTTTCCGAATAAAAGGAATTATGGATGCTTCAAGGATGAGCTTGGGCCAAAACTATGGTCCAAGTTGGTTATCGCAAAATTGCCATGCGCGCCTGCCCGGACCTGACCGGGTCCGTGGATCTTGGGCCTTGGGTTTGTGGGTTTGGGCTGGGCCGAATTGGTAGTCTACTAACCTAATTTTTTTGGGCAAGGCCTACTGTAGATCTGTGTGTTATAGTGTGTGTAACTCACACATTGAATCCCCATCAGTTGGTCCATTACTCCAAGAGTAATAAGCATTAGTTGCCAGCCTTCATGGCTGGAAGGTTACTCATTTCTCCCCCATTGTATATAAAAGGAGGCCCATCTCCTTTGGGTTCAACGCAGAATTTTGCTCTCAGATTAGAGTCAAGTCAGTCTCCTCTTATAATTTTCTTCCTGTGTGAGAGAGTGCTGCCATTGTCGGTTCGCCAAAGGTAACATAAGGTGCTTTTGCGTTAGCCGGTCTAAACAGTCGTAACCTGGGAGACAGAAGTGACGTACCTCCAACACTCACGGTGAGGTGAGTAATCTGTTTTAAGGACACTGTGGTATCACACAAGCTTTGGTTTGCTTCTTTCTACTAGTTTTATTTTATTATGAATTTCTGTAAATTCCAGCATGTTCTTATTCTGAAATTCAAAATGGTTGGTCAATATGAATTTATTTATTTGATTTAAGTACGCAATTTATACAACAAGCTTAAAACAGATTAGATATATTTTCTATGAAATTGATCGAATAGATTTATATAGGCAATTAGATTAGCTTTGTATACTGCTACTACAAACTGTTGCAGAATTGCTCACAGTTTCAATGATACAAAATATGAAAATGCATATTTAGAGATTCAATTAATTTATATGAATAAGCTACTGTTCCATTTTCTGTAAATTAATTACCAGTTCATGATTTTGCTTCTTTACCTGCACATAGAAATATTTTCATACCTTCTTGCATTAATTCATCTTATGAGTAAATTAATATATTTTTGTTTGCTAGTAAACAAATCCATGTGTGTCGTACAATGACTTATTGCATGCTACTATTTTAATTGTATGCACAACTTGCATAGTAGTTTGTTTCTTATTATCAGTGAATGAATATAAATTATTAATTCACACTGAATCTATAATTGAATTGCCCACTGGTTCTTCTGTTTTGCATGATAAATAAATAAATAAACCATCACCGTTCTTTATTGCATGGTATTTGTTTTATAAAATTTTAATACTGCTATGATTATTTTCTAGGCAACTAGTCTGCTGTTTTTCCCTGGGAATACTTGATCAGTATGTTGTTTTGTTCAAATTGAGATGCTCAATATGTACACATGTGTTTTAAATTCTAGATAATTTGCATGTTCTAATTTATTAATATATGTGTGTGATTTCCAGTCTCAATGCATGTTCATTATTTGGTTCTATTATCGTTTTCTAATCTAGGTAATTTTATGGGCATGCTTTTGGTTATAATTGTATAATATAATTTGCATGTTTATTATGTAATAATTATATATATAAAATTCATAACTATTTAATTTTAATTCAATGCTTAGAGTTATAGATTTATTTTGTAATTCTTGCCTATTCATATTTTAATTTAATTGTGGAGTTATAAATTTTAATTGTGTAACTTGTTTATACTTATGTACATGGTTAATTTATAAATTAAATTATGAATTCAATTTTGGAGTTTTAGTTTTATATGTAACTCTTGTATATTAATTTAATTTATTTACATGTTTATTGGGATTTAAATTCTATGTAACTCTAGCCTATTAATTTTGTAGTTTAAGGTTTTGGAGTTATCAAATTTTTATAACTGGTCTAGATTTATTTGCATAATTATTGTGTAATAATTTGATATGTATTACTCATGGCTATTAAGTTTTAAATTAATTGTGAAGTTATTTTTTTTTTAATTTAGTTGTGTAACTCATCTAGCATTTTAATTCATTGGTTAATTTTGTTATTAATTAGTTTGCTAAATAGTTTCAATTAATTTATTATATTTACATTTTGTTTAGATTGTTTGGTTTGTATTTTCTTATGTTTTTCTGCTAACTTTCTTTACAGGAATACTTATGCGAAAGGGATTGGAAAAACAAATATAAAATCAAATGAATAGTATTTAAGATGTCAAAACAAAAATGTTTGAACTATTAACTTTTTTTGAATAGGAATAACTAAGCGTGGAAAAGATTTTGGACTATATAAAATCCTTATGGATTGGTTTACCACTACAAGAAAACACACATTTGGCGACTAAATTTTTAGTCGCCAAAAATCGAATTTTCACTTTCCCTGACTAAATATTTTCGTCGCCGGTTTTGTCGTGAATACACGGTCGCCAATACCTTTGGCGACTAAAAAATTTTTAGTCGGCAATATACATGTCTTCAGCGACCAAAAAATTTGTCGCCAATAGTCAATTCCATTTTTGGAAATTATACATCGCCAATAGTGAATTTTTTTATTTATTTATACATTTGCCGACTATTTTTTTTGTCGCCAATAGTCAATCTTTTGGCGACCACAGAGTTTAGTCGCCAAAAGCATATTTGAAAAAAAAAAAAATTACCTTCTGTGCCTGAGACCTCCCACGATTCGAACCTGAGACCTCTAGGTTCCAAAGCTTTACAACACACTCCCCCCCTATACCACAAAACCATCACATGAATGTAATTGCAACATATATTATTTATACATTACTTTGACGGGTATTAATACAAAACTATATATATAAATATAATTATATATATTTAATTTATGTAAAAAATAATTTATTTAGAAAAAAAAAATTTAGATCACTTTTGGCGACTAAATCCATTATTTAGTCGCCAATTCTATAATTTTGGGCTACTAATTAATTTTCCGTCGCTAAAGAAATATGTTCCGCCTAAAAACTACCCCTTTTGGCGACTAAACCTTCTTTTAGTCGCCAAAAACGTCCCCTTTTGGCTACTAAAGTGAATGTTAGTCGCCAATTGACAGTTTTTAGCTACTAATTTTATTTTAGTAGCCAAAAAGCTTGACTTTCAGTGACCAAACTGTTTTTAGTCGGCAAAATACATAGAATCGGCGACCAAGCTATTTTTTAGTCGCCAAAAGCTATACTTTTGGCTACTAAATGTTTTTAGTCGCCAAAAACCTTAACCTTTGGCTACTAAAATTTTTTTAGTCGCTAAAACCCCTATATTCGGTGACTAAACTGACTTTTAGTCGCTAAAACCCTTATATTTGGCGACTAAAGTCTTTTAGTCGGCAAAAGTGACCAATTTTGGCAACTAATTCCATTTTAATCGCCAATTCTACTACTTTCAGCGACGAAAAATCCAGGTTTAGTCGCCAAATCTGCTTTTTGTTGTAGTGTACATTTGTTTAGTGAAGTAATTTTTTTCTTGGATTTAGTTGGTTTTTACCAATTGTGTAAAAGCAAGTTTTATTTGCTTGTATTATTAGAAGCATTTTATTTGCTTAATCATTGTCATAGCAATTTTTTTACATTGCTTGTCATTTTGGTTAGCAATTTTTAAATTGCTTATAAATTTGGAACTTAGTTTGGTTTACTGTAATAGAAACCAAAGTGTTTAACCTTAGTTAAAAAGTATTTCTTATTTGTTCAGAAATGACAACTAAGACGGATTTGGTTTCAAACCTTTGGGATTTGAGGAAGTCTTTGGGTTTAGTTAGTTTATTCCCAAAGTGTTGGAAAACCAAGTGTCACCTCCGGCCAATAAAGAGTTAAGTATCGTGATGGCCAGTAACTGAGGTTACCTCCAGCCAATTCTTAAACAAATCAATAAATGCGAGAGGAAGTAATATTTAAGTGAGGGTACCAAAATAATCATCGGAGTTTCTATTTTTATTACAAAAATTATTGACCAAAAAGGACGATATTTACATATAATCATAAAAATGTTGTGTGTGTCTATTCTTCAGCCCCGCGTCTAAGACTTTCCAAAAGCTATTTTCAAATTGCATTGTTCCCTGAAAATTGGCAAACAACTATAACCACATGGCAGAGTGAG